GCCTCTGGAACCCTGTTTACACTGTTTTTTCCGATACAGACGTACTATGATGAACTTCAACCATTTTGCCTAAGGGAAGCACTTTATTGTTTCTCTTTGGCAACTCCAAATTGCTAGCAGCACTATTCTTTGTAAAATAAGGCTACTTGAATACAAGCACTGTGATACTCTGACAGTCAGTCTGGTAAGTGAGAAGCTACTAAGTGACTGTTGGGAGGGTAGCATATACAGCGTGGATATGCTGGACACAGAATAAGTTATGTCCCAGGAAGACATGACTTATCAGGTGTGATTTTCTCATATAACTCAGAATGGCGTGCAGTTTAAAACTTATGAATCATTTCTGGAATTTTCAGGTAGTATTTTTGGACTGCTGTTGACTGCAGGTAACTGAGACTTTAGCTTATGTGTTCACAGAATTTCTTTCTTCCCTGGCCTGGAAGTTTGACTTGTTCCCTGCTATATTCCCTACAGTCCCAGTGCCTGGGACATGGTGTAGGCACTTAATGAGTGTGTAGTATGAATGCATGGTGTAGAGATGTGTTTCTGATAGGCGGAAACATGGCATTGCGCTGAGTAAATGAAACAAGGAGACCTTGGGTGAAGATGTTTCTTGCTAATTTGTAAAAACAAACAGCCTTGACTGGGAACAGACTGTACTACATGTCCAGTTGTGAGAGTTTGGAGAAAATATTTAGCGCGTCATCCCAGAGTTGGGCCTGTGTTCTAGGGGCCACTTTTTCCTACCCTTTGCCCATTTTCATCATAGACCTTTCAGAAGCACAAGCAGCTCTTTGAAAAGTATGGTTCTTGTTATTTCCACGTGGCCTTTTTTGTTGGCCTATGTTAATTGTGCAAAGTGAGAGGTTTCATTGTGATGTTTCTGGACACACATGTACACATATCTGTTCTTTTAAAGAATGTTTTGCTGCTTTTTCAATGTGTTCCTGAGTTTGATTGTGAAAAGTTCTGCAAAGCCAAGAGAAGAATTCTCAAGCTGACAACAAGTGTACCTTTCCTGGCCAAATCTCCTCTTCCACGTGCTTTTGTAGTGCAAAGATTTCTTTCTACGAAGTCAAAAGAGTGCTCCTGTGTGCGCCAGCTCCCGCAGGGGCTGTGTTGTTGAAGATGGGTTTGAGCAGGTTCTTTGGACAGGTGGTTTGTGGAAGGACTCTTCAGTGTCTCTGGTGCTAAATTCCACAGCCTCTTTTGGTAGCCTGCTGCTGGGTCGTGCTATTGAGCTGAAATTTCATCTTCTGTTCAGTCAGGCTGCTTTTTTCCTGCCAGGCTAGCCTAAATTCTCACATTGGACTATTGTCCTTGTAATAATGGGTCATTTACAGCAATGCCTGGGCCTTTACTGCCACCCCCCCAATCCACTAATGCTCTCCTGCACTCACCAGTCTGTATTGTCATTTTAAACATTTCTTCACTTGTTTCCAGCTTTTCAATATCCTTTACATAGAAATTGAAACTAGTCGCAAGCCCTCTGAAAAGCCTCTCAGTTAAAAAGGATGAATGATTCCCATATTGTTAGCACTGTTCCTGACGTTAGATCCCAAAAGATCAATACTTGGATTTTTAACGGCATTGTGTTATACGTGCAGCTGTGTCACCGTGTGCCATTTGAATATCTGCTATTTGCACATAGGATGTTTTTGGTTTACTGCGTCTGGCTTCTGGGAGTGTTTTCTTGCACCTTTACGTTCATCCCTGCTTGGGGATCTTTGTACACAGTAAATACTTGATCCTGTCATATTTAATGAGCACATTCACTTTAGCCCCGGCTTTTATCTGTTTCTGGGTTTTGTATATTTCAGGAGTTCCTCTCCTGAGGGTTGTCATCTTCCCCTGTTGCTGTTTCCCTAGGGGTGTATTTAGGGCTGAGATTGGACATTGTGGGGTATTATAATGACTGGGTGCTCACTGATGGCGTGCGGTGGACAGGGACCAGGGACGGGTTAGCGATCCTCCGTGCACAGGACAGTGATGGCCTCAACTCGGAAAGCTGAACAGACAGACAGCCATGGATGGTTTGCAGTATTGGTCAGGGAGCAGGTGACAGACATACCATGAGGGCTCACCACGTGCCCTACATTGCTTTAAAGGCCTTCAGTGTGTCAGATTGCTTGCTCTTCTTAATCTGAGAGGCAGTCACTTTACAATACTCCCATTTCACAGACAGGAGATTAAATAACCACATTGCTAGTAAGTAGGGAAAAATAGGTTTCAAATCCTGTCTTTATTTATTTATTTATTTATTTACAGTACTGGGGTTTGAACTTGGGGCCTTATGCTTATGCTTACTAGGCATGTGCTCTGCCACACCTCCACCCTTCTTATTCAGTCACTGTCTTCAGATGGAGTCCATGCTTTTTGCTCTGGCTGGCCTTGCTCTGTGATCCTTCTACCTATGCCTCTACAGTGGCTGGGTTTATAGGCATGAGCCCCTGAGCCTGGCTCTCTTTTTTTTTTTTTTTTTTAATCCCTATGTGCATACAATGTTTAGGTCATTTCTCCCCCCTTCCCCCGCCCCCTCCCTTACCCCCGCCCCTTCCCCCTCGATACTCAGCAGAAACTATTTTGCATTTATCTCTAATTTTGTTGTAGAGAGAGTATAAGCAATAATAGGAAGGAACAACGGTTTTTGCTAGTTGAGATAAGGATAGCTATACAGGGAGTTGACTCACATTGATTTCCTGTGCGTGGGTGTTACCTTCTAGGTTAATTCTTCTTGATCTAACCTTTTCTCTAGTTCCTGGTCCCCTTCTCCTATTGGCCTCAGTTGCTTTAAAGTATCTGCTTTAGTTTCTCTGCATTAAGGGCAACAAATGCTAGATAGTTTTTTAGGTGTCTTACCTATCCTCACATCTCCCTTGTGTGCTCTCGCTTTATCATGTGATCAAAGTCCAATCCCCTTGTTGTGTTTGCCCTTGATCTAGTGTCCGAATATGAGGGAGAACATATGATTTTTGGTCTTTTGGGCCAGTGAACCTGGCTCTCTTATACAGAGCTCAGCACTGAACCACTTACCTGCCAGCTAAAGTTATGCCTTTACATTTGCTTAAAGCCCCGTCAAGCTTAACACCTGATTACTGTACATCTAATGTGGCCTGTTGTTAAAGTAGTAAGAATTACCCATTAGAGCTGGGCACTGGTGGCTCACACCTATAATCCTAGCTACTTGGGAGACTGAAATTGGGAGAATTACAGTTTAAGGCTAACCTGGGAAATAGTTCATGAGACACCATCTCCAAAATAACCAGAGGAAAATGGACTGAAGATGTGACTCAAGCAGTAGAGCACCTGCTTTGCAAGAACAAAGCCCTGAGTTCATATCCTAGTCCCACCAAAAAGAAAATGCCCATAAGATAATAAGATCTCAATTTCAGATGATTTGGAGGACAGTAGATCTGTCCCTATAGCGAGCAGTTTGCCCATCAGTTCCTCAGTCCTGTAGTCAGGTCCTTTGTTTCAGAAGTGACCCAGCGCTGAGGTTGTGTAGCTAAGAGGTAAAAGGTGACTGTCCTGGATGGGTGAGACCTTTCATGGCTTCTGCCACAGATTGAGGGAGTGTCTTGCCCAGGTCCCCCCTCAACCAGAAAAGCTATCCAGACAGAACCCAAGGAACTACTTCCTTTAAGACATCACCGGCAGTTCCTCCTATCTCTTTCTCACATCCTGGCTGGATTGCTTTAGTTTTAATTACTGGAGTCATCAGATAATTTCATGGAAAGAGTAGTTTATCCTGAAATTAGCCAAAGAATATATATGCTTCAGTATAACAAGCCAAGGAAGATGAGAAATGTCACTTAGTGATTAACAGCTTTGTTAATAAAACTGACTTTGCCTTTGCCCTTGAATCCTATAATATTGGTGGGGGTTTTTTTCTATAGAGAAAAGAAAGTTGGTAATGTGTGCCTACTATCTTTAGTAAAGAAACCCTATGAATAAAATAAAAATTAAAAAAAAAGAAACCCTAGGCAGTATGCGCATGAAAAGCTGTTTAGACACCCTCTATATGCAAATCTTTTCTTAAATGAGAGGGAAAGAGAGGGAGATATAAAATCTTAGAAGATGGAGGTAAACATGTAACTACTGTCTCCAGGATACAGTGTTAAATGAAACAAGTGCCTTCCTAAGTCTTAGGTACTATGGTACCCACAGCCAGAATGTACTTTATGTCACAGCTGAGTGCATCATACTCCAAATATAATGCAATGAAGCTTAAGTTCTATGAAATCCTATTTATAAATTCTCTCAGTGGCAAATCACTTTGGTTTGGTATTATGATAGCTTCTTACTATTATTTTAATGCTGAGTTGATGTGATCATCTACTTATGGGTTGTAACCCCAACTTATTAAAATCCTATTTAGCATGACCATTTTGTGCTCAAAAGGGTAACTCTGGAAGACTTCACTCAGGTATTGCCACTAGCTTCCTTCTTGCAGCTGAGGGTTTGTGGCTGGAGGAGCATGATGGGATGCTTACCCTGTTTTTTGATGTTTAATAGTCTAAGTTTTTACTGTAGACAATGAAGTACTTTACAGTCATAATAAACAAATGACAAGCAAGGATACCACCTCTTTGTCTTGGCCTCCCATTCCCTGATGGGCTCCTCCTGCCTTTGTTGATGCGTCTTGTTGGGCAGATCTTCATCTGCTGACTTTCATCCCAGTTCTACTTCCCCCCCACCAAGGTTCAGTTTCACAGGAAGATTTTTTTATGGAACTGAGAAAAGCAGTTCAGAAAACTGGCACTTCATTTAGAGAGTGAATTCACAGGATTGTGTCTTCCTTTTTGGTGTTCAAATTAGAACTAGCACATAAGTTACTTTTGAGAGTTTAAAAAAAATTTTGGTTTGACATGAATTTAACCTTGTCCATTGCTTATTCTTTGAAAATAATTTGTTCTTGTTATTTATGAAAAAATACTATATAAAAAGCATTTTGAGTGGAGACTAATCAGCATCTTCTCTTCTCTTTTCTTTCTTAATAGGTTTCAGAATGGAAAATTTTGATGCATCCCTCAGTACCTATTTCAGGGCATGGCTGGGCCCCCGAGGTAAGGCAGCTTTTGGTTTTGCTCAACCTCCGTGGCCCTCATCCCATGCTCTGTATATAGCCACTTGTGAATATAGCATGAGGAGATTATGGAAAATGTTAGCGTTTTCTGTGATAAGATCAAAACTTTACCTCGGGTAACAAGGGGCTAGGCAAAGTCCTCTGGCAGCTGTGCACCTGGGGGCAGAGGCACAGCTGCTGTCAGCCACCTGCCGACTTCAGCTAGCGATCAGGTCAGGCTGCAGAGCTTATAGCCCGAGAATGCCACAGGTTTCACCACTGGTGATGGTGTTTTCTCTCAGTTCCTGTGCATCTCTGAAAGAAGCTGGTTTCCAAAACGCACTGCTACAGTCAAATTTCAAAACTCTTCCTCTTTCACAATTGTGAGTGGGTTTTTTTTGGAGGCAGATTTTTACTGTGTTACCCATACTGGCCTTGAACTCCTGAGCTCAAGTGATCCTCCCACCTCAGTCTCCCAAGTTCTAGGACTATAGGAGTGTGTTACCACACCTGAGTGAACACACACACACACACACACACACACACACACACAGCACTGGGGATCAAACCCAAAGCTTCATGCATCCTAGGCAAGTGCTCTACCACTGAGCTGAGACCATAAGGGCAATTTAATTTCTTTGATTGACACATATTTTAGCATGTATTTAATTGTACAGAGTAATGGGTTTCATTTTGATATTTTAATTCATGCATACAGTATACTTGAGTCATTTTCTTCTCCTCTTTAACCCTCTCTTTCCCATCCCTGCCCCATCCCCTTCCATACCTCTAACAGTTCTTAAGGATTTTGTAACATCCTTTCACCTTTTGTCAGATCACCCATAAATAATTGGACCTGAACTCTCTTGTTATACTTCTCTTAGTCTTTTTCACTCTTTAGAAAGAAAATCATCTTCCTCTTGTCTGCTTTTAATTTCATCTACAATGTCTTCTCCTGTCTTCTCTAGAAAGAAGGAACTTCTTAGGTTCACTGTGACAAAATATCTGAGAAAAATAACTTAAAGGAAAGATTTGTTTTGCCTCATGGTAGGAAGGACAGTGAGCAGGTGAGCAGCAAAACTGCTCAGTGCAGGGTGTCCAGGAGGCAGAGAGAGGGAGAAGGCACAAGATATACCCCACCCCACCCCAGTGACCTCCTTCCTCCAACTAGACCCACCTCCTGTAGTTCCTACCCCTCTTATTAATCTATTCAGTTATGAACTTATCAATGGATAATTTGTTGATGAGACCAGAGTCCTCACAGTGCCGTCACTTACCAAATGTGCCACCTCTGAACAAGAAATGAAGACTGGCTGTTAGTTTCCAAGTGAGCGTATTCTTCACTGAACCTCTGCTTCTCCTGCGAGCTCAGGGGAGAAGCAGTGGAGCAAGGAGCAAGATGGTCCAGCCAGAAGAGAGTGCTGGCCATTTGCTACTGGCAGCTACTTGGGCCTGTTTTCTTCCTCTTTTCCTTGCCCTGCCTAGGAAAGAGGATGGAGAGGAGGCCTCTTCTATACCAGTAGTTCCCTTGAATCAGTGAGTCTCTCTCTCAAGGTAGCTCCTTCTTAAATGCCTTGAATAGTCCCTATCTGATGAGACTACACCACCATCATGTTTTGTTTTTATCACTGTCCCTCTACTATAGACTTTGCCCCCACAGTGGACACTGCCTTTGTAGTCAGGACCAGTGTCACTAACCTGGCTAAGTAGCACATTTCCTGAGTCTGACACACTGGGCACACTTGCTGCCAATCCACTGAGTGGAGTGCTATCTCAAGGGTTTCATGACCCCATGTGTCACTGGGAAATTTAGCCTCCTCCTTACTTTTTCTTTTAGATTCTCTGGAAACCATGTTTTTGTTGTTTTATTTAGCAAAAACCATGACTGATAGACATTATTATTCAGAACAATGTAACAAGGAGCTTCCCTTGTTTGATGCACATTGGAGATCCATGATTCCTCTTCTCCTTTGTCAGGATCAAAGACTTTAACACCAAGTGCTCTGGGTTGAGGGTGTAGCTGAGTGGTTGAGAGCCTGCCTGGCATGTGCAAGGCCCTGGCTTCACTTCCCAGCACCACATGATTTTATGTAATCATCATTAGAGAAGGTTTTTGAGTGAACTTTTGGTTATTTTCATATGTACCTTATTAATAATCACTGAATATTTTCCTTCTGTTGTTTTTAGATACCCGAGTAAAAGGGTGGTTTCTTCTGGACAATTATATACCTACATTTGTCTGCTCTGTCATTTACCTACTCATTGTATGGCTGGGACCTAAATACATGAAGAATAGACAGCCGTTCTCTTGCCGGGGAATTTTAGTGGTATATAACCTTGGACTCACCTTGCTGTCTCTCTACATGTTCTATGAGGTAGGCAATGGTTAATGGGGGCTTCTGTTCCCTTAAACGTACTTGTGTGGCAGTCCTGAATTGTGTCCCTAAATGAGGAAAGGCAGTTGCCAGGGTGGAGGGAGAGGTGGGGAAGCAGGCCTGTCAGCACCTTGTTTTAAAATTGGTTCTTCAGAATGACAGAGTTTGTCCAACACCTTCTGTATAAACACCTTCACAAATATTTAAAAGCCTTTGCTGTTGATTCTTTTGTTACTTACGTTTATGTGATATTCAGAATTAAATAGCTTTAAAAATACTTTCTTGTGAACAAAATAGAGTGGAAAAATGAGCAAATGTGAAAAACAGATCTGTAAGCATTTCATTATTAGGCACTTAATAAAGAGCATGTTTCTTGCATGGAAGTGGGAAGGAAGGAAGTGGGTGGTACTTGTGCTTGGTAAGTTTTGTGATAATTCAGTTTCTGTCCTCATCCGATAACTTGTCAAATCTCACAAGTTTTTAAAATCTAAGAAGAGAAAAGTGGATGGCAAAAGAGCCTCTTTTAGGTTTTGAACGGCCTGTGCAAGTTACTTCTTTTATGTGACTGGTATATTGGAAATAGAATTTAGATGCCCTTCAAGTAAATGTTTTAGTTTAAATAAAAATACAAACCAAGTTGGAATCAACATTTTGGGTCTCCCTATTTTGCAAGGGATAGTAACACGGCCTGAGTAACTAACAGGAGACAAAAGGCACCCTCCAGGGCTGACACAGTTTATAAATGGGCCCTAGGAAAGGACTGTATTTTCCAGGCTCACAGCACTAATTGAGTCATCTTGGGCAGAGAAGTAAGCTGTGCATAAAGCAAACATGTTCACACACTCCTTTTCTCATGGCTTTAATTCCCTGAGGGTCAGCAAAGAGGAGGCTGAGGGAGCAGAAATGATCATGAATCTTAAGTCATGTAAGAGGTGAAGGGCATGAAGGGTCACTCTCCCTCAGCCTCTGCCTGTGGTCTTGTTCCCTGACTGTGTGCATGTGGCATGTGCAGAGTGTGTGCAGGTGTGTGAGCTTGTGGAAAAATGCTGCAGTTTGTCATCGAAGGTGCCATAGCTGTGAGAGACCTGTTTCCTGTGTTCCCATGTAAGGTTTCATAAGCCAAGGTGCAGATTCTGTAACTAGAAGGGTAGATGCTTTTATGCTTGATACTCCAAGAAATGCTTACCGTTCCTTTTTGCTTTTTTCTGTCCTGTTCTAGAGTGAAAGCAGTGTAATTAGCCTGGGGATGGAGACTGCAGCCCTGCAGGCGGGGGAAGGGCACAGGCGTGACTCCTGGCCCCAAGGGACAGAGCTGCAGCAGCTGTCGGGTTCTTCAGAGCAAACTGCTTACGCCCGTAATCAATAGATGATAGAACCATTTCTTTAAGAAAGCTTTTATAGTTTATGATTATACACTGTATTCTAGAGAAAAAAATGTAAGATGATAAATCTTAGAGAACTTAAGCATTTGCCTTAGATGTTTCTCAAGCCCTAGAGATAGAGCTGTAACTTCATAATTTAACCTCTTTTACACAGGCACTACCCTGGTAAAGAAGACAAGAAAATTACTGTATAGGTCGATGCTCAATGCATTTGTACAAATGGGCGGGAGGGGGAAGAGGAGTCCCTAAACAACCTGAAAAAGAAAGGACAGAATTTTCGTCTGTGTACTTGGTGAGAACAATGGAAGGTTTTGAGTCATGAAAGCACTGAATGTAGAAATTTAAGAAATACTCAAGGGGAGGAAAATCACGTGTTTTTTTTTCCCTTGGCAGTAGTGGGGTTTGAACTCAGGGCTCTATACTCTTGCTGTAGACAGGTACTCTAATGTTTGAGGCATACCTCTAGCCTGGAAAGTTACATTTTTAACTCATAATTGAGGTGACATAGGGGGTGATAGACAAGTAAGCAATAGTTTTTATATTAAGGTTATAAAACATTTCCAGGTCAGATATGTCTGTTGAGAATTAGCCTGGGGCTCCAAGTGAGACGGAAATGACTTTGATTTTTGCCTGTGTTTCCATAGCCACATGAGCCCCATCAGTAACACCACTGTAGTGTGTCCCTTGCCAAGTTTTGGATTTCATTTTCATTCCAGGCTTTTCTTTTTCACTTAACATTTCTTCTCTGTTGAATACCGAGACTCAAGAAAGCAGTCCTGTTTTCCAACAAGTGAAATGAGGAGATCACAGCCTCTCGTTTTAGAGAAATGACCCATGAGGTGGAGCGGTTTGTCTGTGGTCACACACCTGTGCAGAGTCAGGCAGAGCAGTCTTTATTTACTTTTCTGCTTATCTTCATATTTGGGCCTGTAAAGAATTTTTAAAGTAAATAAGTAGTCACTGGTATTTTTGTTTATTTAATTCTGTGACATAAATTCACAGTTGGCTCGCCAAGTTCTGGGTGGATACAAGGAAAATTAAATCACTTTAAGGAGACAGAGGGAAGTCTTAAGACAAGGGAAATGTGGAAATGAAGGCTGGCGGAGTGTCCCAAGTGGTAAGAGCACCTGTCTACCAAGCATGAGGCCCTGAGTTCAAACCCCAGTGCCACCAAAAAGAAAAAGAAAAAAAAAAAAGGAAGTAAAAAGGGGAGTCAGTGAGACTTTAAAGTTAGTGGAGTGAGCTGGGCATGCAAGTTCACATCTGTAATCCCAGTGTTCGAGAGGAGAGGCAGGAGGATCGTGAGTTTGAGGCCAGCCTTGGCTGCATAATAGGACTCTCAAAAAAAAAAAGGTGGAATGGAAATAATTCAAGTTCTAAAACTATGAAACTGAGTTCAAAATGTAGAAGGAATATAGACTTGGTCATAGTTTATGCTTTCAGTAGAAAAAAAGGTATTGCTTTAATTATCTCATTAACTTAGTGCTTATTTCTGGGGTGGGAAGGGTCAGATTCATGATTTTTGAAGTATATTTCAAGAGTGGTCTATTTTAGTTTGTAAGTAGAGGCTTTTACAGTAGGCTTTTAGCTTTTGCTTGCTAACTTAAGTGTTGTCTACAGTCACCTTCAGTGGTAAAGATTCAGAAATAAAACTGCAAGTTATAGAAGAAAAACTTAGTTTGCATTAGTTACTCAGCCCTGTAAAACAGCAGTCTTATAGCAAACAAAAAACAAACTCATGTGCCCTCCTCCCCCGAGTTTCAGAAGACATTTCACCCAAATAGAAGCTCAGCTGTTTTTCAAACTATCCACATGTCTTCCTCTTATCCCCAAGTGCCAAGGCAAGAACCCCTTCTGCATGTTGCCAACTGTGTTTTCCTGTTCTGTGTACCTACCCAGCTGGACCCACCCAGCAAGCTATGAAAGCCACTTGTGATCCTTTGTGTGATCCTTTGTCAGAGTGTTACACGTGCGTTCCCTCCTGGCAGCCGCTTTGTTCTCATTTTTGATGTGTCTGCACTTCTCCCACTGTGCCTCTGACCCCCGTCGTCCCTACACAGAGAGCATCTAATTGTGTGGTTTGTCACAGTCCTGGAGGGTGAAGTCCGATTGATCAGCCTGTGCCTCACACAGTGAGCCTTAAGACTCCAGCAGCTGCTGGGGAGGCAGGTCCGTGTTGTACAGTGCCTGGCTTTGATCACCCCAGGGTACTGTCCTGAGTGCTCAGGAGGAGGCACTCTGGGCTTCCTTAGCTCTGCTCCAACTCCATGCACACCTGGCTCTTTCATCCCTCAGGGCCTCTACCCCTTAGAAACTCCACTCCTCTCAGGCCTCCTGTCGCATCTCCTAGATCTCATTTCCAGGACTCTGTGCAGGGATCCAGCGCCTTTGTGAAGTTCTGAGGATGAGGACTATAATTTCTTGTTAGTCTCTGTGGCCTTTCTGTTATTGCCAGGGAGCATGACATCTTCCTCTCCCTTGAAGTGCTCGCCTTAGATCCATCCCTCCCTACCAATCACTGACTGAAGAGTCACTGACTTACGAGATGGCTGTGTTTAAGGTCCCTTGACATCTTTTCATTCCTACTGTTACCTGGCTGATTTGTCAACCAAACGTATCCTAAGTGTTAAGATCAGAAAAAAAAAACAAACCTCAGAAATACATTTTTATGTTATTTAGCAATCAAAGATAAATCAGAGGTTACAAACGGTTACTTTTCTTCCATTGCAGTTAGAACTGTATGTTGTGAATGGTGTAAGAGAAATCTTTCCGATATTCATAATATTTAAAGTTTAGGGTAAAAAAGATTTATTGCTGGGTATGTGGATCTGACTTGGCATAAGTTCAAGCTTTTATTTCTTCCCCTTTGCAATTTTTATTTTAAATTATAATTTTGGATTATTCAAAAATACTTAATCAAAATCATATAAATATTTATGAGCCTAACAGATGTTGATGTTTTCCTGGGATTTTGTTGTTATTGTTGAGTATGAATTTGTGGGGTTGTTTAGCTCAGTGGCAGAATGTGTACTTATGCACAGGCCCTGGGTTCAGTCTCCAGCATTGAAGTAAGCAAATAAACAAATAGGAAAACACATCTAAGACGCAGCCTCTTCATAGATGTAACTCTCTTCTAAAGTTTACATGTTTCATACTGCTTATACTCTTTCGAATAACTTTGCACTCAATGTTACATCTTAAAATTTAACTGTTCTGCATAATTTTAGCATTAGAATTGTATCATTTTATCCATGTTTCTTTGAATGGAAAGGTAGGCTGTTTTATATAAGTATTTCCTTGTGTACGTGTGATCATTTTGGTTTTTTTTTCCCCCAACAGGGACACATGTAGGTGTTCAATGACTAGATCTAAGTGCCTTGTCTTTTAATGAGGAAATTTAACCTATTTTCACTTAAATGATAAATGTTGTTATAGAGTAATTTCTATAACCTTTTTTGAATTTAACTAGTTTGTTTGTTTGTTGGTACTGGGGATTTGAACCCAGGATCTTGCACTTACTAGGCAAGTGCTGTACCATTTGAGCTACACTCTCAGCCCCGTGTGTGTGTTTTCTTTGTTCCTTTTTCTCCTTTCCAGCTTTTTTGTTCATCACTGTTT